GTGTGCTATTAGGTATGCAATGAATGATTGTTGTAGATTTATTGAGGCTAAAAAATCACTGCAACAGGCAGTGGTCACCGTGAAAATTGTGAATAATCTATGAAAACGTGTTTCACATATTATTTTAATCTTAAATGTAAAGTAATATTATCCCGAATTACGCGAATATCACATCGGAATTTTCTTGAATCCATTGGGTGAATTCTGTAACTCTAGTGAACACTGACGGCTTTCCAGCCTCGCAACTTCGATAGCTGAAAGAAGTGATTCCCACTTGTACATTGTCTGCTACTAATGGCCCACCGCTATCTCCTTTACATATGCTTTTAATGCCTGAAACAATGAAAATAAGAAAATGTTGCTTATGAGGGAAACCACTTACCGTCACCCGCTAAGCACAGATGCGTGTTTTTAATTTCTTCATCGTAATTAGAATCGACATTTTTACAGTCGTCGTTGCTTAGAATGATACTAGTTTCATAACGTAACACGTCAGTAGTTCCTACTTGGCTGTCGGTAGTTTTACCCCATCCACAAGCAGTACCTATGAATTCAAATTGATTGATTTTTATCGATTTGCAAACAGTGTTTGAGTATTTACCCTCGCTATCAGCAAAAGAGTTATTGCCTACAGCCAATGATACAACACTCACAAAGTCATTAAGTGTTATAGGCGTTTCAAGCTCTATTAGAGCTAAATCATTGGTGAGTGATGTACTATTCCAATCCGGATGAACGACATATTTCGAGGTAGTTGAACGTTGCCTCGTTGGCTCACTGTTATCCGATATATTGTGGGCTCCAAGGATTACATCGAAGGAAATTGCTCTATAAATACAAAATTATAGCTCGTTTATCACCGAATTTCAAACGCATTTTTATTGTCAAAGCCACATAACTAAATATTATTTAATTTTCGTCCATAATTTATATAATAAAAGTCATTGAAATTTACATAAGAATTCAAAAATAAAATAAAATGTAGGGTATTCCAATAGAATTAAAGAAGTGGTTTTCTGTACGTTAACTCTTTGAATATGGCAAACCGTTTTTAAGAACTACAATATAAGTTGATACAGAAATAACGGGTTACACAATTCGAGATGAGGAAAGTAAAACCTTGCTATTTCATATCTGTCAAAGGTAAAGGTGTCAAAGGTAAGCGTTTTTGTTTCAGTTGAAAGTTTGCCATGTTGGAATATGGATCGTTTAACTGTCGAAGAACGCGTAAAATTTTGCTATTATTACAATTATACAATTACTATTATACAAAGTCCAACTGATTCAAGAACTTAAGCCTCAAGCCCATGGGCAACGCAGAACATACGCAAATTGGGTGATTGAACAACAAGCCGTTGATCATTTTTCGAACCGAATTTCCTTCAGCGATGAGGCTCATTTTTCGGTCGGTGGTTGCGTGAATAAACAGAGCAGCCGTATAGGGGGCTCTTAAAATCCTCAGGTGATCGCAGAAAGGCCTTTGAATCCTGAAAAAGTGGCCGTATGGTGTGCATTATGGTCCGGTGGTGTTATTGGCACGTATTTTTTTTTAAAACGATCAAGGAATAGCCATAACAGCCAATTCTGAGCGCTATGGACGCATGTTAACCGATTATTTTGAAGAGAAATTGAAGATTATGACCTGGAAGGCATGTGGTTCCAGCAGGTTGGGGCAACGAGTCACACAACACTGGCAGTTAGAGCCCTATTGTAAGATTTCGAGATTAAATGATGTCAATTGGCCCGCAACATCCTGCGACTTAACACCGTTAGATTTATTTTTGTGGAGCAATGCGAAGGATCGTGTTTACGCCAACAATCCTCAAACTCTTGAGCAACTGAAAGCCAATATCCGTGAAGTTATGACCGACATATTACCGGTAATGTGCTGAAAAGTCATTCAAGATTACCTCAAAAGGATTGAGGCCAGTAGAAGGTCCCGTGGAGGACATTTTAAGGATATTGTTTTTCACGTATAATGGCAAAGATTTAATCTTTATATTGAATTAAAATTTTTGTCTCCATCTGAATATTTTGTTTCTTTTTTGAAGTGATAACTTTTTATGGGAGGGTGAACCGATTTTTCTCGGTCACGGCGAGCC